ATATGCTTTTGGTCGACTTCACATCTGCCCTCAACACTATGATCTCCCAAACCCTGATGGACAAACTATTCACAATAGGACTAAGCCCCTCCATTTGCAACTGGGTACTAGACTTCTTAACAAACAGGCCGCAGTCAGTGAGGATTCACAACTTCTCCTCCTCCACCATAACCTTCAGCACTGGCTCTCCTCAGGGATGTGTGTTGAGCCTTCTCCTGTTTACTCTGCTAACGTATGATTGTGCAGCTACCCATCCAGGCTGTCATACTGTAAAGTTTGCAGATGATACAACGGTGGTGGGATGCTTCACAAACAATGATGAGTCCAGCTACAGGCAGGAGGTGGAACACATGGAGAGCTGGTGCAAAGAGAATAACCTTCACATCATTGTGAAGAAGACAAAGGACATGATTCTGTACTTTAGAAGGAGCAAACACACCTATAACCGACTGAATATAAGATAATCTGCAGTGGAAGTGGTCTCCAGCTACAAGTACTTGGGTGTACACATAAATGACAACCTCAGCTGGGGCAACAACACCACCAGCCTGATCAAGAAAGCTCATCAGAGACTCTACTTCCTCAGGCAGCTGAGACGAGCTGGACTGGGAAGCTCAGTCCTCACCTCCTTCTACAGGTGTGCAGTGGAGAGCCTCCTGTGCTCCAGCATCAACGTGTGGCATGGAGGCTGCACAGCTGCAGAAAGAAAAGCTTTGCAGAGAGTGGTGAAGGCTGCATAGAAGTCTGTTAAAGTCAGTCTTCCCACTATCACAGACATTTACACCTCTAGATGCAGGAAGAAATCCACCTGCATCACGAAGGACCCCACTCACCCAGCACACACATACTTTTTGCCCCGCTCCCTTTAGGAAGGAGGTTGGGGAGCATTAAGTGTAGAACCACTAGACTGAGGAACAGCTTATACCCTGAGGCTGTTAGACTCATGAATATCTAACCAGAATAATCACTGTGAAAAATCACATCTTGTTGCTGCTGATCTGTTTCATGTTGATGTGTTCATGCGTGCTCATCTGCTCACACAGACTCATGCTCATGTTCGTGCTGCTGTTCGACGTAATGTTTTCATGCTATTAGTGCTTAGTGTATTTTTAGTTGATGATTTTCTTAGTTCATATATTAGATGCTATTATTGTTTTTCTTTTACATTTTATTGTTGGATGTAACTGGGACCCTGTGTACATAATTTCGTTCCACCACATGTACCACATGAGGTGCGAATGACAATAAAGAATCTCTGACTCTGACAAGCCTCCAAAACTACGGGGTAGTTGTAGCATCTTACTGCCAATCCTTGGATGTTTTTCATTCCAAATGAATGTGGATAACTCGCTGTTTAAGTAAAAAAAAAAAGATTTGTAAGTGATATTGGCATGTTCTGGAATATATAAAGAAATTTGGGCAGTATTGTCATTTTAATCGAGTTGATTCTTCCTCCCAGGGAGAGAGGCAAGGATGTCCAAATAGCAATGTCCTTCCTAAGAGCCACAGAGAGGAAGATAATTTGTCTTATAGAGGTCTTTATAGCTACGAGTCATCCACATACCTAGGTACTTAAATTTAGTAGAACAATTCTTAAAAGGGACAGAACCTATAGGTCTCCCTTCTGTTGAGGTCACATGCATCAGTTCACTTTTTTGAAAATTAACCTTATAGCCTGATATTCTCCCAAATTTTTGAAGTAGGATAAGCAACTCAGGAATACTAGATGAAGAGTCTGAAATATACAAAAGTGTATCATCGGCATATAAAGAAACTTTGTGATTAGTACAAAACCGGCTTATACCTTTAATTCCCGGGCTGTCCTGCAAAGCCACCACCAGTGGTTCAATCGCAATTGTGAATAAAAGTGACAAGAGTGGGCACCCCTGCCTTGAAACAAGTTTTAGTTTTAAAAAATTTGGATAAATCCCTATTGGTGCGCACTGCTGCCATTGGCGAGGTATATAACAACTTCACCCATGAAATAAATTTAGGACCAAAATTAAACACCTCTAAAGTTTTAAAGAAGTAGTTCCATTCCACCCGGTCTAACACTTTCTCAGCATCTAACGAAAAGTGTTTTGAAGTGATACCGGGCGATATGAACTTCAGTATTAAGGGTCTTTCCCTTTCTTTATTAACACTGAGACTACAGCTTGACGCATAGCCAATGGTAATAATTGTGTGGCCAAAGATAAAAAAAAAAATTTATAGTAATAGAGGAGAAAGTAAGTCTGAAAATGTTTTTAACAATTCCAAAGGGAAGTCATTTGGCCCTGGAGACTTTCCGTTTTGCATGTTTTTAATTGTAGAGTTTATCTCCTCTAAAGAAAAATCTTTCTCCAGTTCATCAGACAGGTCATAACTTACCGAAGGGATTTTAACATCCTTAAAAAAATCCTCTAGTTCGACTGGACTAAGTGGTGATTCAGAGGCATATAAAGACTGGTAGAATTTGCTGAAACAATCATTAATCCCAGCATTATGGCAACATTTTACTCCTTGGTCATCGTTTATTGCAGAGATATCCTGGGCAGCCGAACGCTGTCATAGCTGCTGTGCAAGTGGGTGCCCAGCATTCTCACCATGCTCATAATAGCCATACCTAGATTTGGATATTAAATACTTGGCCTGTTGGGTAGATAAGATGTTAAATTCAGTTTGTAATAATGTACTTTTCTTCAGTAAATCTTGTGAAGAAGATTGGCTGTATTCCCTGTCTAGCCGTAGAATCTTATCTGTCAACAATTTTAGCCGCTCTAGGCTTTTCTTTTTTTAATTTACACAATAAGAGATCATTTGACCCCTCAAGTAGGCCTTCAATGATTGCCATACAGTGCCCAAAGGCATCCCAGGCGTTCAATTAACATACTTTTTTTTTTTCAAAGAAAGCATTTTAACAAAGTCTTCATCAGATAAGAGTATGGGATTAAATTGCCTGGGATGATAGACCGAATGTGTGATAGGAACATTCAACTTTATTATGAGAGGGCTATGATCAGAAATGACTATTGCTCCATAACACATTCCTTCACTAAATGCAGAAGCCGTTTATCAAGAAAGAAATAGTCAATCCATGAGTAAGTCTTATGAACAAGAGAGAAAAATGAGTAGGATCTTGAAGTTGGATTTCGAAAATGCCACAAGTCGACCACACCATAAGTTTTAAGAAACAAATTAATTGAATCAAAATTAATCAAAGAAAAACAACAGTAGCACGCTGGGCTATGTTTAATAGTGAAAGTAAGAGCATTTCCACATGCACAATGCAAAGGGAACTTAAGAGATTGGGACTGAACAGCTGTGTAACATTAAGGAAACCACTAATCAATGAGGCTAAATGGAAAAAAGGCTTCAATTTGCTAGGGAGCATAAAGATTGGACTCTGGAGCAATGGAAGAAGGTCATGTGGTCTGATGAGTCCAGATTTACCCTGTTCCAGAGTGATGGGCGCATCAGGGTAAGAAAAGAGGCAGGTGAAGTGATGCACCCATCATGCCTAGTGCCTAGTCATCAATGCAAGATCTTGGTGAAAAATTAATGCAACACTGGATGTAAATAGATCTTGGGACATTGCAGAAGCTTATTGAAATAATGACACAGCGAATGCATGCCGTAATCAAAGCTAAAGGCGATCCAACAAAATATTAGTGTGACCTTTTTTTTTGGTGGTGACTTAGTGTTTTTGTTTGCATTTAAATCAGTCAAATCACGAGATAGTTTGCTAAAGGACAGAGCTGGCTCTACTAGTAATTGTATTGTCAGTTTTAAGTTAAAACTGGAAGGAAATGTAATTACTCTCAGGAACACATCAAAACTCAACTCAGGATCTGAAGAACTGACCGAGAATTGTGTTGCTGAGCTGTGTTTTGTGTCTTGAACTTACAGTAACTTGTAACATTAATCAGTTACAGTAATTTATTTCTGAAGGCTTCATTAAAATCTGTGCAGTGGTTTGTGAGATGATTTGCTATCAGACTCCACTAGCTAAAGTATGGAAAACATATTTTGTATGAACAATTAACTGAGTTACAGATATTTTTATTTTGCTACTTATTTAGCTGTGGTGGCCAATTTAACTTAGACTGACCCCAAAAGGCAATCTGTTATAGATAAGATTACTGTCTAAGAGTTTCATTATGTTCCATGAGCTATTTTGCTCTGTTCAGACAAACAGTCACACAGACGTAAGCAATGGAGATGATACAAGGGTGAAGGAATTAAATCAACCTTTCAAAAATGCAAAAAAATTAAACCACTAACATCATAAAATGTAATGAAGGAGCAGACTAATGATTCTTGAAGTAGAAAACCGATGAATTTTCAAAAACTGTCATAACTAAAGCCTGATTTAACAGTTTCTGTGTTGGATTTTAATACATTTATTGGGGACAAATTACAACTTTAAAAGAAACACAATGATCCAAAATAATAAATAAAAGTAGAGTTTCATCAATGCTTTCATGTCACATTCCTTACATGAAGTATGAAGATAAAAACACTTGGTGTGCAGAAGGTGCACACACTGAGATCCAGCAACAGAAAATCAAACAAAAAAACAATTAACAAATAACATTTAAAAAACACCATGTGATGGAATGGGATACAACAAGGTTTACGTAATTCACTTGAGATTAAATACTCTGGAAGTCATCATGGAGCTTTGTCCCTGCTGCACTGTTTTAAACTCCAGTAATTAGTCACACCCTAAAACTTAGAGGTTTAAAGTTTCCCAATGACCACAGTCCCTCAACATTTCTGCGCTTGTTGTTGTATTTTTTTAGCTGCTCACTTCTGCAGCGGTTGCCACAGTGAATAAAGTCATTATTATTATTATTTTTTGCATTGTTTTAAGCTAGAAGCCCTTAATGACTCAACATGGGCTCAAACTGCTGCTTTAGGATTACGAGACCACGATGCTGACCAACGATCCACCGTAGAACAACATCTCTGTTCCTGTAAATGTATAAAAGAGAACTTCAGCGTTCAGAAGGCAACTTGCAGCTTCTTCACTCGACTCTGAGAAAGCCTGCTGAACGGGTGAGAGCTTGACTCAGGTACTCTGCATTTTATTTATTACAAATCTATAAAACTCTTGACTTGTTTTTGTTCCAACAGGTGAGATCACTGAAACCATGCTGAAGACACTTCTTCTCCTTGGATGCCTCCTGAGCCTCATTGTGGCTCAGCCTGTAAGTATAACTTCATCATGCTCAGCAGAATGAACTGAGACATTATTTTTATTGTAATAAAGCATAAAGCAGGTCATTCTGAACCTTCTGCAGACGGAGCACCAGCGGTTTGAACGCTCTAGCTCCAACTCCAACGAGGCAAGTGCTTTCCGTTCTCCACACTCACACCACACATATTTATGACATTCTCCTAAAGTCTCAGTATTATTTCACCTTCTGCTGTTTGTTGGGTGATAAGCTTGATGGTTTCTCTGCAGGGAAACATAAACTCATTTACCAGCCTTTTCGGATTGACCAATGCTCAAGTGCAGGTGCTTCTTGCTACGCTCCTGCAACAACTTACTGGTTAAAAACGAACTCTAAATGTAACAGCAAGTAAGAACAGTTTTTTACTCTAGTGATTTTTAAGTTTTAGAGCTGTTTGTAACATAGAATTAATGTTTTCTCTCATTTCAGATTCTGATGGTTCTGTTTCACAGGAGTCCTTCATTATGAATCAGTCAAACATGCAGAACAAAACTCATCTTTATCTAAAGAGTCTAATAAAGTTCATGCAAAAACATTGGTTATGTCTCATTGTTGTACGTATATTGACATAAAATTATAGAGCTTTGCTCTAAATGACTATTAACATAGAAGCTACTTTGTGTCTTTACATCATTTGGGTTATGTTTCTTTTTCTTCCCTTTTGAACAGATATTAGACTCCCAAGAAGGAAGTCCACTTTCCTCCCTATTTCTTGATTTATGACCTTCGGTATATTTTAAGTGCACAGATACAAAACTACTCACCTTAACTTTAAAGTAGTTCATAAAGAACTTTGATAGGTCACAGCAGGGCACAAAGGAACTCGGTGGAGAATTTAGCAAGCTGATGGAGAAATGTTTGACTTACAGTTTTAATTTCAAATATTCACATTCCTTGTTTGCAGGTCCAGACAGTTCTTTAGAACCCATCTTTCCACCAAAACGTCTCTGTCAGTAATGTCGTCAGTTACATCACTGCTCTACAGATAGAAATGCTACGTAAACAGTTTGTACGACCACTGAGGGATCTGAATCATGAATGGTTGTAGTTTTGGATATGAATGTTTTTATGGACTGGACTAAAACAGGGAATGAAAGCAACCTTAATGTTTTAGGTGAAAGATATTCAAGGAGTTACACAGTGGATTAAAAACGGCGGTAGTTTTTTTTCTTTTGCTTGTCCGACATAGCGCAGTGACAGATCCTGACAATTGGAGGGAGCAGTTTTATCCACCACCAGGTGCAGTGGTGGAGCCAGGGGTGGCCAATGGTGGCCTTAGCCCTCATAGAATAATCTTCACCCACCCCATTCATTTGAGGAAACTATACTTTTAAACAATATAAAGACTAGAAAGCATAGTAAAAGGGTTGTAAGCTCAATCATCCAGGTAGATAACAAAAAAAAAAAAAAAAAAAAGGTTAAATTGTGTCATTTGGACCAGTTTCTTTAAGTGAGAAAGGTTTTGTCCCCTATCCAGAGGGCTTCTTCAGTCTACGGCCTGCCGACCAGATCTGTCCCATAGGTTACCTTCACTGCTGTGTTTCAAGCCAACCTTCTTTTGGAATCTCAAAAGTAGGCTTTTGACACGTCTAAAACACACCCATCCAAAACAATCAATCATCATGTACAACAATCAACTGTTTTAGGTCAAATGGCCAACTTGCTACTCACAGAAACAGCCTGAGGACATCCAAGGCTAAAGTGGCTCAGAAAAAGGGCTGTAATCTTCATTGAGCTTCTTGCATCCACTGAATGCTGAAGTCATTATAATTACTGTAAAGACCGACGTTTTTCGTATCAGATCCAAAATTTCCCTGCATTTCAGCAGAAAGCAACTTTGCCTTCTGGGTAGTGCACTGTTGCCTTTTGGGTAATGTAGTCCTTTGGATAGTGTAGTGAACTAAGCCTCAGGTCAAAACCTGACCCTGAGGGCCTTCCTGGGACAGGAACTGTTATTTCATTGATTTGAGTCCAGAAATACAAATTAAGCTCATCCAGAGACTTTCTAAGTGTGTCCTACACTAATCAATTGAAAGAACACTCTCTTTTTATTATCATTACTATTTTACAATATCTTGATAATCAAAGTGTGTTTAGTTCAAACCATTTTAAATGTTGAAGTGAACTACTCACTTTAAATCAACTGTGAAACAGTATTAATGATTTTTAATCCTCATTCAAAGTAGAAATCAAGTTAGATGTCTGTTACAAAGTAATTATGCATTTTTTGATCTTCTGTCTGAAATGAGCAAGTTGTGATGTCGGTCAAAAGTCAAGGAACGGTCAAAAACACGTTTATCGGAACGAAATGTCATGTTTAACTCTCTCAGACAGATAGAAGGAAGACTGGCTCCTGTCTGTCTGTCTGTTTCAAAACATCTTTCTGTTATATTTTTAAACATCTACTCTGTCTCCTTGACATGTAGTGACCCTCTGACGTCACTAAAACCACACCCCGGTTGGTTCGTTCAACCAATCAGGAAGTTCCCAGAAGGAACTGGAAGTGACCTCTTTAAAAGGGTCCACACTTCCTAGTTCCAAGAAAAACAACGTTCCAAGGCAGAACAACGTTCCAGAGAAGAACAACGTTCCAGGGAGAACCTCGAACGAGAAGTTCCTGAACGAGAGAAGTTCAGAGGAACAGAAGTTCAGAGCAGTTTCTAATGGAGTGACAAGAGTCCGTCGATGCCACGACGTCTCGCTGTGGCTCTACCCGACGGACGCTCTGAACGATGAGGAAGTCTGTTCTGTGATGATCTCATGACTCCTGAGGTCACAGCTGTTCTTACGGAGACGCTGAAAAGAGTTGAAAGAAAACTCTACACCGAAGCCGAAACTATCGTCTGCAAAGGTAAAAGAGTCGATCTTCAACTGCGAGTGTACCGTGGGTTAAGCTGCGTCTAAAGGAGCGTGTTGTTTCTGGTTATACAGACACTTTCCCTCACCCATCCATTTTCTCCATTTAAACTTCATTTCCCCATCTTTAAAACTCTTCTATCTGCCAGTAATTAATCCAGATATTTTCAGAAATGTCTGTTGTATTTCAGTTGCAAGTGAGAAATCATGGCCGTATGATTTCTCATTGTAAAGTTCATTAATTAAGCTGTGTTAATTGTAATCAATCTGCCAATTAATGTAAATGTGTGATGTGTTTTTAAATTGTTTAAAATAAACGACCCACTGTTGTTGGTGAGTCAGAAATTTAAACACGTTTCCGTCCACATTCAATATTCAAAACACGATATTACTCAGTCCAGAAAAATGAAAGAATCCGTTTAAATTGTGGATAATATCAGACGCATATTATCTTCATTACAATAGGCAATAAATTGTAGACTTATTAAGAGAAAACTACAAAATGGCTGTATATTTTTTTGTGTATACAATCTTACAGAACTGCACTTTGAAAAATCGTGAAAGAGTGAGTCCGTAAAAGTCGAACCGCAAAGTAACGAGGGACTACTGTACTTTCTATTGGTGGAAAGACACCCCCCCCCCCCCCCCCCCACACACACACACACACACACAAAACATGTTAATTGATAAATGCCTCAGAGTTTCAGAACAGGACCTGGGAGTCTGGCAGCAATGAACAGGAAACAATACCAAACCTGGCCTGAACAAGCATTTTGTTTTCCAAGAACATTCAGGATTGATAACTCATGTTCAGTGAATCATGATATAATGTGCAAAAGCACAGAGACAGTGCTTTATTAAATAAAATCACACACACACACACACACTCCCCCCCCACACA